CGATGACATGGCTCCCCGAACATTCCCGAACATTTCTTAAATCACCCATAGCTCTTTGTTGTCTCCACCACTTTCTGAAACCAATAGTCCGTTAGAACCCTATCGGAATAACGTATCCAATTCATTATCCCATTAGAGTTTCTGACTACGTTTCAGGGGGCTGAGTGTAATTATCGATACCACAGGGACCTTACAGTTATTTAAGCTTACCTCAGGGGGGTGTGTGTAATTTACCCAATCAATTATTATTTGCCCTCCTGGTAATAAAATATAAGTAGAAAACATGCATGAATGTAGTAGATACATATATATACATACATGCATCATCACATGACATCTAAATCTAATGTACAAAAACAACAGCGTAACACCACTGGAAACTAACTAGACTAAGCAAGTAACTAATGGCCATTGCTTGCAGCAGATTCACTATTCTTCATCTTCACTGTCAGCATCTCCGCGGTTGGGGTGGTGGAACGAGTACGAGTCGTGTGCAAGAGTCTGCACCAATTGCAAATTGCATAATACGACAACCATCAATTATCACTCTTAACATTACATATTTACATACACATCAACTACTAACATTACCTGTTCTTGGGCTCGGAAATACATGAATGGGGTATAATGCAGGAAATTTGAAACCCTTGACGTATATATATCTGCGTACCTGCATGCATTTTGTTTCTTTCACAAGTCAACTATCTTTCTTTCTTTCTTTTTACAACGACTACATTACTACTTAAGTATGTAAAAGAACGACATGATGACATGAGTGGTGGATAAATAATTAGTGGAAACACATACTTCTCAATCTGCCTCATTAAGTGGCTTTTGTCCCACAGACCTGCTCGTGAAAGAAACCCCCACCTGTAACAACATCATCGTCATTCAACTAATTCAATTTTTTAAACATTACATGTACTAATTGCAAGATACACATTTCTCACTACACCAAAAACACACCTTTTGTTAAAGAGCTCCCCATCCGATTCCATCATTGGACCAATTTTATTGTCTAAGCGTTGCATCACTATCAGTAGTTTCTGAATGCTTTCGTTAAGTTCCTTGTCATCCATATGAGTTGCAGCAACAGTCTGAATGATTAAGGGATAACAAAATAATCACTTTGTCAACGTACACCTGTACAAGAAACATAAATGTCAAATTTTATACCTGAGCAGGACGCCCTTTACTACGTCTCTGCAGAGCAAGCCGGAGTTGGTTAAAGAGGTCTCCTACAAGCTCCTTCTGATTTATAAGCTCTATCAGCGTCGTACGATGACCTCGACTGTGAACTAAAGCACTATACTGCATGACATATACAAGTGTTTAAAACTGGTAACTATTTTTTTCTTCTTCTTGTATTTGAGAGCATGCATACATGCAACAAACCTCTTCTTCCAGTTCTCGGCAAATTAGCGCTGTACGCCATCGGAGATGAACTTTAGATTGGCTAACATCTGTATAAATATGGTCACCCACGTACAGAATTTCATCTCCCTGAATGCCAAGTGATTTTTCAACCATCTGAGCACTTCCTCCAGAGTATACACCCCCTGCATGAAAAACAACCTGCTGATTATAATCTCTTCCAATTATGTTTAATATTGTACAAGAGCATGATGATGATCAGATCGATTTTGACCTTTAAAGCATGAAAACAGCGATACTTTCAATCATTTCAGAACTCTTACTCATGAATTTGACATTTCCAATCACTTCAAGTTTAAAGCATTTTAATCATTCACACCTAACCAAATTTTGGTCATTGTAAAGAAACTATGACAGAAAGGCAATTTGTGAAGAAAGTTGTACGAACGTAACTGAGTAAAGAATAAAAAGGAAATTAAGACAATTTTTATTATTATTCAATTTTCAAAAATGCAGGGATAAAAGACAAATGCGTTACTCGGTTTTCAATCCTATGTTGGAAATGCATCTAAACACACACCATTACAGTACATGTCATACAAACAGTAACAGAGAGATCTATTTTTTCATCAAAGATAAATAAGAACCATTGAATTTAAAATAATGCTAGGGGATAAATGATAGCACATATTACAAAAACTTTAAAATGTTGACACATAAGAATGATCACCTGAATCAGCCTTAAAGCATGGGCGCATAAGGCCTTCACCAGTCACCACTTCATACATTGGGTGTGCCATTTGAAAAAACTCCGGCTTTCTGGCAGAGACTATTACCTATAGAAGAATCAGTCACCCGAATCATGTCCCTAAATTTAATTGAATTCTGCTAACAGTAAAGAAGTCTTTTATGACCGATTTAGGTGTCCAAAACATTTTTTATGTGTCAAGTAACATTTGAAATATCAAGTTTCTGAAGTATGTCATAGAATGCGTCTCTATTGACTTGAACAAAGAAAAAAAAAAGATACTAAATAGAAGCCAGTTTGTCTCGCAGTCAATTTACTAAGAAGCTACTACTCACTATGTCAAACAGATCTCGCCAGCTCATATCATTCGGAAGAAATCTATTGAAAGAATGCTGCATCATTTTTTCAGTGTAATGGTAATCTGAGTTGGTAATAAGCAAGAGCTTCTTGCCAGCCTGTCATAGAACAGCAAAATTTAGTCTGCTAATAAGTAATATTAAGGGTACATGTAATGTAGAAATCATTGAAAATATAACCATGTACTTGTCAAATACGCGTCAAAAGTACCTCCTTCTGATCCAATAGTGCCAAAGGTAGCTCAGGATCAGGTTCTACAAAGAGTTCAGGCTTGGACATTATCTCACTCTGCAAGTTTGTTCGCTGGTTAGACTATTTTTGTGCAACTGGACTGGTAGAAAGTCACAAATATAAAGGACGAATACCTTTAGCTGGCCTTCGACATGTGCCCTGAAGAGTGCTTTTCCAACAGCCTGAAATCAATACGATGAAGTTAAGGCATTTTAATATATGTAAAGGTCAAATTCCACATGAATCAAACCTTGTAAAGCCCTTTATAATCAAGTGGACCAAGATCTGCGGCTATAGCTCCTTCATCAAGTCTATCTACCAGCTGAAGATAAAGTACACCAGTTATGTAAAGTCATATTGCAAAAAGACGACAAAATCAAGGAGGATTGAGTACTGTTTGCATGGAAGCTTATAGGTTTAAGTAACATTTATACCTGACAGAGGTAATATGATTACTCATTTCAAAGTAAAATTTTATAAGTTATACTTCCATCGACAATGAAATATGAAATAAAAAAGACTATGATCCGAGAATAAAACAATTATAGAACATCTTTCAGTTAAATCTTTGGGAGCACCTCCAGATAGAACTATAATAAGTGTCACCAACAGTGTGCAATCAACACTATTGTCTTGCTACAACCTTCATTTTGCAAGTCTTTCATTGCGTTTTTAGAGTAACCATGTTAATCAATAGAGCATTACCATCTTAAGTAGCTTCAAACCTAGAATCAATATTATTATCTTAATACAACTATCAACATCTTCATTGATTTAAACCGAAGCAACAGATCAGTTTTTCAAGTTTGAAATGTCTCCAAAAGCCAAGTTGCAATTTGACAAATAAAAAGAGAGTAAAATGCAGAGGTCGTGTACCTGCATATAAGCAACAGCCTCTGAAACGGAGAATAGTGTATTTAGGAACTCCCACCTGCTCTCCTTCCGCAGATCCACAAGTTCTCTCCCATACATCTCACTTCATTCAGGAAACATTAATGAGTATTAGTCTAAACTATGATTTAATTTCATTACAAGTACATAATAAACCATGAAGGAAGAAACTTAAGCTGAATAAAACTCAAACTGAAGTGCAGACTCTGGAGTCAAAATAGTAAATCATGACAAACTATCACAATGCAACTTCTTACAAAACCTGTTCTTGGATCCTCACCTGATGGAAATATGTGTTGTATATGATCCATAACTTGACTAATTAAAACCGAGATTGACATGGACTAGCTATAGAAAGATGTGTTGCCATTCACAAGGAATATTGAATAATGATAAATAAAGGGAAGTTTGAATCACACCTCAACGTCTGAGTAGACAACATAGTTGTTCCATGCATAGCCCGTTTGACGTATCCAAATCGATCTGCCTTAACTAAGTTCCCTTTCTCTTTGTCTATGACTAGGCCTCGAATGACCTACAAGCACAAGGTAACAACAACAACAACAGGATATTCTAAAATCAGTGAAAAGAATATACCCCTCTGACATTTGCTATCAAAGAATATTGCGTACCAGTTCAGGGTCAAATGAAAGTCCATCAACAGGAAAGCCCATAGTTTTCAAATTGTCCATGCAATAGTCATAAGCCCTTCCCTCCCAGGCCTGCAAAATAACCAAATATTGTAGAGAATGAATGCACAAAAGAGTTTTGGTGGGGGGTTTGTAAATACCGCGACATTGTAGTGCATCAATGTGTAGTCCATGTCATAGCCAATAGCAGTAATTGAGCGCAAATTAAGGGTTCGAGTACAGAAAATTCCACGAGGAGAGTATCTTGAAGAAAACGGATCCTGCTACAGAAATTAATTATATAAATTTCAATTGGAAAGGGATAGCAGCAGCATATTCATAATGACTGACCGGGATGCCCAAGTGATTAAGCAAGTGCTCGGCTTCTTGAGCTTCCATTCTGGCCACATCCTCAATTGGACCTCTTCCGTCCAGCCGTCTCTCCGTCTCTCCGATTCCTACAAATAATAATAATAATGAATAATTGCTGATAATAATTAATTCCTAAATAAATTGATTGAATGAATAAATTACCCAAGTTAATAAGGTTGAGGTCGCCTTTGGTGCTCTGGCCGAGGTAGTCAAAGTCGGCCTTGCTGGGCGGCGTCACGGAGAAGACGCCGGAGTTGGCGTCGGTGCACCGGCGGCAGGTCAGTTTCTTAGTAGTAGTAGAAGAGGGAAAGTAAAAAAGGGAGAGTGAGGATGGTCGGAGTAGCGTAATGTTCATCCTCCACCGCTGCTGCCAACTAACAACATCCTGATAATAGGCAGCACAGGCAGTCGTCGCCGCCATGGCCATTCTGAGTTGCAGCAACCAACTATTATGCAATTAATTAGCAGAGAGAGAGAGAGAGAGAGCCCAAAATTGTATTTCAAATTCAATAATAGGTTTTTATATAATTCGATCAAAATAATAATGATTATTTATTATATAATCGAATAATTTATTTATTTTTCCTATTATTTGTAATTAACAACATCATTAATAATAATAATAATAATAATATGGAATATATATTTATAATTTCCTGAAAAAACAAAGAGATAATAAATTATTAAATTAATTTGATTTTTGAAAGAAAGAAGAAATAAATAAATAAATATGATGAAAAAGAAAGCACCAATCCAAAATAACTAGAAACATCACAGTATCACTCTTATCAAAAACCCCTCTAAAACCATTTACACTTCCTTTATCAAATCTAAAATATCAAGAAACAGAGGAAGGAGCTAAAGCACCACTCAAATTTCCCTCTCTGTACGTACACCGATTCTTCTTTTTTATCTGTTTTTTTGTTTTTTTTTTTCATTTATTTCTGTTTAATTCCGAGATGGGTTTCCTTGATTTCTTGTCACGATTTAATTCAAACTGTTATGTAATGGATTTCTTTGTTTCTTGTCATGATTTTGAAGGTAACACTTGTTTGCTTGCTGTTATATATGAACCTTGTTTTTTTTTATCCTCTCCCTCCCAATCCCATATCACTCTTCTTGGGGGCGGAGCACACCGTCGTATCTTCTCTCTCTCTTAAAAAGTAAAAACACCACCACCATTTTAGTACAGACATACCAAACAAAGCCCCCATAGAATTTTAGTCCGAGGCCTTCTCATGCCTTTCCCCAATACGGCGCCGTCGCATCCCGCGGTGGCGATTATCCCCGCACTCATTTCGTGTTTAGGAAAATTCTCCGGCGCCAGGCGGGCCCGCTTCTACTGCAGACACCACACCGCAGAAATCGACAGACGAGACAAATTTGCCCAGAGAATGGGGGCGGCTGGCCTTAAACCTCATCACCGCATTGGTATGGTCTGTCTGTACTAACTATTTCCACTTCCATTTTCTCTTTCTTTTGACTTATTTCAAAGTATTACGGTGCATCAATTTTTTCTTTGAGTTATTTCAATGTATTAAGCTTCAGCAATTTTGTAGGTACCCTAGGAAAGTATGATCAAATATCAAATCTTGTTTTTAAAGATTGAGTTCATTTTTTCCTTCGTATGCAGCAATAGCTGTTTCTGGTGGTCCTGATAGTATGGCGCTGTGTGTATTGACTGCTGATTGGAAATCTGATAACCTTGTTGATTCTGCTACTTCTGTTACCACCAACCATGTCGATGGCCTTTTAGCCATTGTTGTTGATCATGGATTGCGTCCAGAAAGTGCAGAGGAAGCAGACCTTGTCCGCAATCGAGTTTTAGATATGGGTAATCAAAATCAAAACTTTTTTTCTTTTTTCTTTTTGGAAACATGCACTTGTTGTTGGTTTCTCTAGAAGAAGGGAGGTGGGTAGATAATGTAGGTTGTCGTCTATCTATATATAGGAATAAAATGTCAAGTTTCCCATTGCGAATGGTTGGACGGTAGACCTGGCCCCGGTCACTTGCAAGAAGCAGCTCGCAATAAGAGGTGTTTTTTCTTATTAGCTTTTTTCTGTTTATTTACTTCTCCCTAACTAATGAATTTTCTTTGAGTTTGCTTTTCCCATCTATAACCTCTACCCTTGTAGGTATGAAACTTTACAAAACATATGTATCCAACAGCAGATTAGCATACTGTTGATCGCACACCATGCAGATGACCAGGTTTGCAGCATATATATATATATATATATATATATATATATATATATATATATATATATATATATATATATATATATATATATATATATGTGTGTGTGTGTGTATTATGTATTCATGTTCAGTTGTACTTTATTCCTCGTTCCTTTGTATAATTGAAGTGCTCAAACATTGTGTGTATGTATGATCCCAGTCAATGAACGAAATGACTGATATATGTATTTATGAAGCCAACTACATCTTTCTTATATATGTTGATTCCGTGCATGAGAAATATTTCAATTTTAACGGGCAGAGTTTGAATATCAAAGAAAATTGTATTTTGACATCCAGATTACAAAAATATGATTATAAAGCACATGCAAAATGCAGGCGGAGTTGTTCATTCTCAGATTATCTAGAAATAGTGGTGTTCTTGGGCTTGCTGGCATGTCATTTGCTTCACAAATGTTTTCGCAATTCCCTGATTTTTGTGGACAAGAATCAAGACCTCGCGGCATTTTAATAGTGAGACCACTTCTAGACTTCTCAAAGGAAGATATGTATGATGTAAGTCTTCATTAGCTGTTACTGATATTAGATGCTTCTAGCTATTTTTAATTGTTCCTAAGTTGTTTGTTGAAGCAGATATGTCGAAGTGGTAATCAACAATGGGTTGAAGATCCAACAAATAAGAGTCCTGTATATGCTCGCAATAGGATCAGAATGTCATTAAGTAATTTGTCATCAAGTAAGCCATCATACTGATGCTGGTCTTTGATTAAAATGGATAATGAGTGACAGATGATTAGGTATTTTAAAATGCTAATGTAATGCTCTAATCTAATATGGTACAGCTATATTCAAGACTGAGTTGGAAGCAACTATATCAGCGTGTCGAGGAACCCGATTGCTTGTTGACAAATTCTGTAATCTGTTGCTGAAACAGGCTGTGACCATCATGCCTGTATGCTCTTTTTATTGAGATGCTTTTGTTTTGTGATAATCTGCTGTTTTATTTTCTGTTGTCATCATAATGTTACCCCCAAAAATAAATTTAAAAAATAAATAAATTCGATGCAGCATGGCTATGCAGTGATCGATCTGGAAACTCTCCGTGCAATGGAAGTCAAGGATATTTACCTCGCAAAGTTTGTTACTTCAGTAGTGCAGGTATTTCCAAATTAGCATGCACATTTCATACAAATATCTCACTTCGACAAGTTTAAGTACCACTTTGTATTGGAATTGAATTAAGCTATTTGTTTTGGGTACATCAGTTCATCTCACAAAAACACAGACCAGTTAGAGGAAAGGCGGTGAAATTGCTACAAAGCTACATTCGTACTTTACCATCCAAGGTTAATAATAATAATAATAATAATAATAATAATAATAATAATAATAATAATGTATTTCTCTGCTGCTGCTGCAGCACTTTGTGCTTTTTGATTACCTAATAATGAGTTGTTTATTGGAAATGTTTACAGACTAGTCTGACTGTAGGTGGCTGTTATCTATGTCCAGCTCCTGGATCCAAAGGAACTAAGGTCCTTGTATGCTGCTCTGTCAATTTGTCTTTCCCTGTGACTATGAAGTTGTTTCATCCGTTTTCTTATGGAGGGCAGAATTGCTTTCCGACAAGCGATTTAGAGCAGATTGTAAAAGAAAGTGAAGCGTATTTGGATACATTCACCTCTGATGCTCCATTTTCAGACATAGCTGCTGAGTCTGTTCTAATCGAAGCCAAAAAGCTTGGCATTCTTAGTCATTCTACGTATGAGAGTATTGTTACCTTGCAGCAGGAAGAAAGTGATGATTTTAAGTCAAAAGCTGTCTCTAAATTTGCGTCGAAAGATGGTATACCATCTTCAAATGATGCAGCAGCAGCTGCTTTGAACAATTTTGTTATTATGCCTGGCCAAGTAGGTTACTTCATGGATAGATTTGTAGTAGATTGGAAGACGCGGTGTGATGAAGAAGGAGATTGTTTTTTTAGCAGCATTTGTGATGAGAGGGGGGCAGAGGTGCGCCACATGGTGGATGCTGATTGGTTGTATCTTTCGGACTTGTCGAAGAAGAACAAGGCAAATGTGGGACCACCAGAAGAAAATAATCATCAGGATGATGATAAATGCAGCAGCAGCAGCAGCAACTATTATGGTATATTGTCGGCAAGTAGAGCTATTGAATGCTTAAAGTGTATTCCAGTTGCTGCCAGAAGAAGTATGCCTGTCCTGGTTAATGCTCAAGGACTTGTATTGAGCATTCCGGTACGTACCGAAACAATTTCTGACCAATTATCGAAAAACTATACTTGTCTCATTTTATCGTTTAATATATATATATATCTAATAGTAAAGTCAGTGTTTTGTGTTTGTTGGTTTCAGAGCATCGGGTTCGCACAATGCCCCCATTTGACGAAGGTTTTTGTTGTATTCAGTCCTAGGATACCTCTAGGTGGAGGTCATACCTCATTTTTGTAGTTCCGAGATGGAAACAAACACAAGGGTACGTACGTACGGTAGAGGTTTTTATGCTGTACTATTATTAGATAGTCGTATATGAAATGGATAGCACTAGTACCCTGTACCCAGTCAGAGGAAAATACCAGACACAAGATAGGTAGGGTATGAAATAACATTGTTGTTTTTTTGTTTCTATTTGTAATTGAATGAGTGTAAGCAATTCGTTAAAAAAAATATTTGATTCTTGATTTTTGTTTCTAGTGCCCAGAGATGCCCCCACTTCTTCTGTTATCCTCGTAACCTTTGCATTTTCAACCAGCATAAACCATCAAAAACTACTATTGTTATACAACATTTCTCTAGTTTGATATCATAATTTATGTTACTAGTAAAAAGTAAATTGACGTTATTTGATACGGATTTTAAAAGGAAAAAATATGATAACTTCGAATTCAACCCAAAAATATATTTGAATGAAATCCCTCCCTCAATTACTGACATTCATCAATCCTATTTGCTAAACTGGTAAATTCACACCAATCAGTTTTAATTTGACATCGGGAAAAACTACCATGTCTACCGGCAAACAACTACAAAACTCAAAGCACATACGGACATATAAATTAAATGAAGAACGATGATGAAATGACCCTACAAGATACGGACATTAGCTTACAGAGACGAAGATTGTCTGCAAGATAAAACAGGCAGAAAAAGAGGTCCCTACAAGCAGGCAACACCGCCGAACTGATTGCCTCATCCTGGAGCTCAATGAACCAAAACAGTGTAGAGTCGCTTCTAAAATGTATTCCCCGTCAAGAAAAAACACCTGATGATTTTATAAAAAGATATTCAAATATCGCAAATCAATGGCTTTCAACAGAATCTCTACTTGATAATGACAACCTTGAACACATTAAGATCCCAAAGCAAAGCTAAACATGTAAGTTTCAGCAGATCCTTAACTTCCTACTGAAGAGATACATATGAAAACAATTCCAGAATCCGACAAAGAGACATACCAAGCATTATGAGCAAAAGGCGAATTCCTCAGAAACACAATTCTAACATAGACTGATATGTTTTAACATGTTTGATAGCAATCTTAGAAAAACAAGTGGAATAGCGATAATTTTTCATCCCTTTCCCAGTTGCATAAAACAGGAGCATTGGATGGTAGAAGAAGCATGCTGCCAAATTGTTACTAGTATATTTTTCATACATTAACTTTTCAGAAGATTATTATTTTTCCACGACACTGAAAACAAACCAATATCTGAAAGATCCAAGGATATGGATCTCATACAACCCTTTCTGTCAGTAATAAGTTTGTAATCCTGGATAGTCCAAGAACAAACTGGCGTTATTTGTGGAGAACTCCGAGAATATTAACAAGAACTAGCTATTAAGTACGTATATTAACAAGATAATTTCCTTCCAATATTAGGCCAAGCATCTTACCAACATTCACAAACAGGGAAATACAGTGTTCCTACAGTAATGCATGCTACAGTTACCAGTTATCAAATAGGTCAAACATAAAATAGTTTTGTGACTTACCGGCAGGCTGTTCAAGAGAGCAAGTCCCATAGAGACATGGAAGGCATATGTGAATAGTTTCTCCAATAAATTTGGAAGATATGCCATGAAATAAATTGACCAACGAGGCTGATAGGAAGTCAAATGGATGGAATTTGCCATAGTGATCAGATCACCAACATAGACAAATGTCTGAAGACAGCTTATTTTTTCACTGCTAAAATGCTTTTCCGGAGAAAATAAACTTCTTCTACGACTGTGGCATTCCAAAGTTGAATATGTTATCTCAACCCACTGTAGACCTGGCAGCTGCATAGGCGTCAAGCATGACTCTACCTGTGCCACAAGTGTCATAGACAATATACAAGTATCATTACCAATAGATTTTTGGCTATTTGTAACATTGTAAGGTATATCACCTCTGAACAAAGACAGCTACTTCCATTTGTTAAAGCTTGCTCCTTAAAATTAGGGTAGGCACATTTTTTAAGCTTTATCACATCCTTAGCATCCAAACAGTGAATATTTTCTCTTCTTTGATGATTGTTTCGGTTGGCATCATTAGTATGCTTTTCCACATCCAGACAGGTCATCGATGCAAAGGCAATGAGTTCTTTTGGACAATATGTTTGATTCCCTTTAAACTGAACTTGAGCGATCTCCTTAGTCAAAGATTGAGGAATACAATAACCATTTTCAACATTTAAATTTACACTAGGTTGATCAGAGCTAAGAGAGTAAGTCTGCTCAGTCAACATAGTGATCGTCTGCTTCCACTCTTCTGTAGTATGAATACGGATGCCATCCAAAGAAAATATAACATCATGACGTGAGAGATAACCGTATAATGGTGACATAGATGGCACATCCAGAACCTGTGGCGGAATCACAAGTCGTTTCGGTTTAACAAATGACTTGGCTACGGATCATTCAGAAATAATTCAACAAAATCATGTAACTACAAATTTATTCACCATTAGGCTTTCACCGTGTATGTAGAATGGACTGAAGATGAAGGGAAGAAGGACTAATGCCAGGGCGCAACCAACACAAAACTGCAGAAGATAACAATTAGTCCATCCTGTTCCAGCATCTGGCAGCATATATTGCTACTGGTATGTAAATTACACATAACATTTGAGGACAAATAATACTCACACTTACCGCCGCATTGTGCCAAATACCAGCACAGTATATACGGAGAGAAGCAACCAAAGGTAATGCCTGCAATGATGAGTGATTGAAAGCCACCAAAGCTCCTGGAAACAACACCGCCAAAAAGATAGCAACATACTCGACGTGCACACCCTCACTGCACCAAAGAAATTGCAGCAATCATTGTGAGGTAGATCCTCTAGCCAACAAACTCGCTTATTTCCTAATTCTTAAGAAATTTACATGAATGTGAAAATTGCATAACTTGTACACCTTTTTTTTTTTTGTTTATTTCTTAGTTCATCAAGGAATATTTTCAAACTGGTTATGGCTGGAACAATCCCAACTAGTTTATCTTATTCACGATTTACTGGTAACAATGTTAGTACTTGCGGACACCGGATGCTGCATGGTCTGCACTCTAAGATCATAATTGCCACCATCAAAGTGCTATAGAAAAAATGTTGACAATTTTCAACTGATGAATAATCTTTCGTAGTTTTGACGCTTGCACTACTAGTAGAGGGTTTAATGATCATAATTTGTAACTTATTCTATATTAAATCAGGCGGTATAAAATTGATTAGCGTGATTTTTTTTATTATTAATAACAAGAAATGAAATATTTTATTGAGAATGTTGGTAGTTTTGATTAAGGGGTAGAATAATATTTTAATAAATTAAATAAGTAAATTGTATTCTAATAAAATAAAAAATAAAAGATACGTAAGTAAGACTTAAGTTGATTTGAGACCATGTTATCATAAATTGAGAATTAATAATGAGGACATTTAAAAAAAAATATTTTAGAACTACATGTAGGCACTACATAGGAGAATGACAACTAAAGGACATGCTATTTTAAAAAATTTCAGCATCAATGCATGTTTAGAACGAAAGGAGATGAATCTTACCTTGCTGCTGCAAGAGCATGCCCAAGCTCATGAACAAATACGCATATGACAGAAGATAAGCACAAATATACCATATTGGGAAGTGAAATGTGCAATCCGCCAATCTGCATAAAGAGTAAGTACGAATGCAACGATGAAAGTATTGGCAAACAAAAGGATGATTCGTGAGTACAACCACTGACCCACTTGTGATTTTCAAAAAGCAATAAAATGTGGGAACAACAAATGCCAAATGACCAAATATTTCTAAAGTACTTGTTAACTAGCTAATACTCATTCAAATTACAAAGAATAATAATAACAAATAAAGTTGCCACAGGTTCTACACATCTCACTGTTTATTAGTAATACATAGACTGATAGAAGTACGTGCAAGTTAGACTTTTAGAGATAAAGCAAATATAACAGTTGTGACCTTATTTCTGTTTATATAAATAACTCCCGTGACATTGAAATGTTGAAATCAAGAAGACACTTGAGTTTCACATAACATGACTTCTCGGGTAGATGAAATTCAAACATCTACCTAAGAGCGGGCAAATGATTTATTACTAACCACAGAGGCAAGCCCAAAGAAGGAGTTACCCGTCCAGGTATTTCCGGCGCATACAAGTGTTATTCGGACCAATTCACATAGAATAATCTGAAAATAAAAAACAATGTAAGATTAAGGGTAAACAATTCTCTTAGTTTAGGAAAAAAAAAAGAAGAAAAGACAAAGTTGAAGATCAGCCACTGACTGACTAGTGTGACTCCAAGTAAAGTCGCCAAACTAAATACGACTCCTATGGAGAACCATACCCTCAAGCACCTGCAAGGGAGAAGGAGAAGATACTATATTCTCTTTAGCCCAAAATCACAATGAAAGGGGAAAAGAAGAAAAAACAGAAGCACAACCTAGAGTGTCGCCGACCGAAACGAAACGGGCCGAAAACTTGAAATCACAATACCTATATGATTCAGGTGATTGATTACAGTAATCTGCTGATACAATAAACCACTAATTGAAGTTCAAGCAATTTAAACAAAAGCAAAAATCATATCTTTTTACCAGCAAGAGACGGTGCCGGAGAATTGCTTGATGCGACGCAGAGGTAGAAGCGTCTGATCTCGTCGACCACCATACTCCACCATCTTGATCAATTAATCAATTAAAGTGGCTGGCTGGCTCGAATGAGTACCGGAGGAACTAGACAGTGGTGGAGGAGGGATGAATGAATGAATGAATGAATGAGATTGTGATTGGACGTTTGGGTTTGGCCGTTTGGGTTTGGCTTTACAAGGAGCATGGTTGTCAGATACGAACCGGACCACCCGGTCCGATCTCGACAAAACCGGGGTTTAAAGCCCAGAGCCCCGTTCGACCGGTAAAGAAACGGGAACCGGCGATTCGTTCATAGAACCCGGTTTTTGATCAAAATGTTGAGTGTACGGCTGAAATTGAGTGGGTCTAGTCGTGGGTGGTCGGAGCTTGGATCTTGGTATTTGGTAGCCGGATCTCGAAAAATTTAATGACCGAAAAGAAAATAAAGAATAAAGAAGAGCGAGGAAGAAAATTGCGAAATGAAAGAAATAGGGGTCTTGTTTGAAGACAAAAGGTAAGGACGGAGGCGGTACAGGGAGCTTCAATTTTCAGGGATTCAGGGGCAGCGCCCCGAGAATTTTTATGATTTTTTTGAAAATAGGAAAAGGAGAAACGAAAAAAAAAAAAATTTAGAGTTTTTTTGTATTAATTTGAATTTTGGGTAGACTAATTAATAAAATTTGGGGTTTTTTTGTATTAATTTGAATTTTGGGTAGGTTAATTAATAAAATATGGGGCTTCTTTTGCATTAATTGAAATTTTGGGTGAACTAGTTAATAAAATTTGGGTAAACTAAACAGAAATATAGTGCAACATAGGGGACAAATTAAAAAATTAGGGTGGGCTTCTGTCCACCCTTGCCCAAGGGTGGACTCGCCCCTGGACGGAGGGAATCTGCATCTGTCTGGGTCAAGAAGGGGAAAAAAGAAAGAAAAGAAAAAGGAAAAAAGAAAAGAAAAAAAAAATAAGACAAAGAAGAGGAAGATGGGTCACGTGGTATGGAGAGAGAGGAAGAAGAAGATCGAATAATTACATTTCCACACCTTCCAAGCCTTTTTTATTAGGGTAAATTACAAACACCCCTGAGGTATGGTCAAATTACAAAAAAACCCCTCTTGTTTGGATAATTACATCTACCCCCCTCAACTATGATTTTTTCTTAGACCTCCACCTTTATGGTGCCAAATTCAACATAGTCATCTAGATTCCGTGAAATGTGCTCTAGTTTGTACTCGTTTTGTGTAAAAAATACAGTTTCCGATGCACCACAAACTGATATATACAAGCTAAAAATCACATATTATGATCATCTTGCTTCATAATGTAGAGTTTCAATGGGATCAAACGGGTACAAAAGTGATAATATTCCATATAATCTCGAAGATTCCACTAAATTTGAGGAGTTGAGGGGGTGGTTGTAATTATCCAAACAAGAGGGGTGTTTTTGTAATTTGACCATACCTGAGGGGGTGTTTGTAATTTACCCTTTTTATTATTATATTATACCCCTGTCGATTTTTAAAATATTGCTTACTGCACCCATTCTTTCCTCTCATTGTTCTTTAATTACAAAATCAGCCCTAATTTCGGATAATTACATTTCCACTTCTTGCTATTATATTATACACCTGACACTTGGCAAAATTTTGTTGCACCATTCTTTCCTCCCATTTTTCTTTAATTATAAAATCAGCCCTAACATTTTCGGTTAGTTACATTACCACCCATTGCAATCCCTTTTTATTATTATATTATATGTACGACGATTGTGTCCACTTTTACCACATCGTCTGCACTTTATAGGCGTTTTTCAACTTGTGACGGAATCTTTTTTGTCCTCCTACGCCCAGGATGAGATGGTATGGTAGGTGGATGAATGAAGGTGTCATCAATTATATTGTCATCCATATCGACAATATCAATTTCAGAATTAGGGATGGGGTGTATTATGCCTTCATATGCCAGTTTAAACATCTCAACCCGAAAGAATGGATCAACATAATCAATCACCGAAAATTGTTTCTTACTGATATAGGCACATGCATGCTTACATGGCAATCTTTGGATTTGCCATTCTCTACAAGAGCAAGTCCTATTCTCCAAATCCACAGCAAACGACATGCCGTCAGCTTGGAACTCAAAGATCCATTCGCTAGAAAATTCGGCCTTCAAACAACGAGAGTCGCGATAATTCTTCTTCAATCTCTTGGATTATTTCGGGCCCAATTCATTTTTCTGCTCCATAGATTCTCTTCGTCGTTTATTCATCATACCCATAATTTTTTTCCGTATGTGATCGACCATTGATGCAATAGAAAAACGATCGGACCTCTTTAACCCAGCCATTCCAACATTCCACCAAATTACTATTTATGGTCCCCCATCGAACTCCAGTAAATAGCGCATTTGCCCAACACTCTGGTCTCGAACTAGCGATGAATTCTTTGGCAAGAGGCATAGACTCCAATATACTATTAAGATGTTGTCTATGTTAGCGTAGCGTAGGAGTGTATGCACATTTGTTGAAGACAGATTTCCAATGTTTTTTATAGTGCAGTGGGTACTTCACTAAAACCTAAATAATGTGGAAAATAATTAAACATCCGTATACGGAGTCAATAGAAAATGTATCGCGCATCAAGGTATATAGTAGCGAAAAAAGAAAAGCTTTGTACCTGTTTTCTGAAATTATCAATCAAGTGGCGCAAACAATAAGCATGGCGGCTATTAGGGAAGATCTTTGGGACTGCTTTGACAAGTCCCGGGTGACGGTCGGAAAAGAAAGTAAAATTCACAAACGACATGATTCCGCAAGTTACTAAAATTTGTCTCAACCTGAAGCAAAACCATTCCCAATTCACGTCATTTTCAGAACTACCAACTGCATATGCAATCGTGAATAGATCATCGTCTGGATCCTGGCACACAACACTAAGCAAGCATCATTTTTGCTTGTTTTTAATATGCGTTCCATCCAAAACTATCATTGGCCTACACGGACGGACAAAACCATCGATACAGGCCTTGAAAGCAATAAACATCCGAACAAATTGTTGAGTAACGGGGTCGATCTCATAATCTGCTATACTCCCTGGATTTGTGGTTCTTACAGCGCGACAATATCTCCTTAACTTATAGTAAGACGTACGCTCAGCTCCATGGATGCTATGCATCGCTATTTCCTTACCCCTCCACGCTCTGTGATACTGAATTTCCACACCATAGTCTTTCTGGATATCACTCAACATTTGAATGGGTTTGTATCCTGGCGTATATCTTATTTTTTCCTTCACGATAGCTGAAACCCAATTTGCATCAGCCCTAGGATGACTTCTTGAACGGAGACAATCCATTTCGCACGTGTGGTGAAGATTGCATTTTCAGATGCAAAATAACGAATATGCCGCGTGCACGGATGCATAAACTCGCCATTTGCATTCCGCATCAATGCAAACAACTATGATTTTTTGCCGATCATTTTTCTTATACTTAAATGATCGCAAATTGGCAATGCAATAGTTCTTTAGCATCACTCTGAACTCATCAGCACCTCTGAAACGTTGGCCCTCTCCTCTAATACAGTGTCTCCATGCATCAATTGAGGGTTTCAGAAACAAATTGTTCCAATCCTCTTGTTCAACTAATGCCAACATTTCAGATAAAAAATAATAAATAAGTTAATAACTTCAGTACTATACTATATTTACTGTGAAGCGATACGTTGCCAGATCCGTTATATACGAAATGTGGCATACATAGATACTAAAGTATATCGTCAAGTATATATTACCACAGTAACTTACATACATATTTACCACGTGTTTATACGTGTTATATGTACACTAAATACGTTAAACAAGACATTAATAAGCGAATACTAACCTTCTATTGTTATGACCGTTGTGACGCAAATGAGCCTCGTCGTCTCTATTCAGAAACAGGTCAACGATGTCCATCTTCATAATCGAATGCAACAACATCATGTGCCCACGTCCTCGTCGGTGTTCAAGATCACGTGAATGCTTTTACGGGGGGGCTAGGTATTCCAGTATCATCCTACTGTCATTTGCATCAGACCACTTATGTCCTACAATCGAATAAAGGTCCACCAGAGTCGCATTATTCTTGATTGCAAAGATATGGAGTTGTCCCCTGAATCGACAGCTTGCTAGCACTTCGACGCGGGGTTATTCGCCGTCAACCTTTGCTTTCATTGTTGCCCTAGGTAGCAGAGAAAAGAGACCGCGAAAATAGCAAAAACAAAGCAACAATCGTTTTTTTTCTTCAATAGGTTTTTAACGTGAACATGTATGTTTGGGAACAAGGATAATTGATTGAAAGTTGGTGTTTGGTTGTATGAATAGTTGAAATGTAGAAGAAAAAAGAAATAAAAAATCAATTACTAAAGGGTATTCCGGACATTTCAGGTGGCTAGGGAGTGAAGTGTATGTAATCTTTAAAAGTAGGGAGTGCAGAGTTAGAAAAAACGTATAGGGACTGAACCACAAACGTTTCTTGGGCAAAGGTATTTAAGAGCAAAAACCCCTAAAATATAAATTCCAGCCTGAGGAAATTCCGAGTTAAAAAAATGACATAATAAATCTCTATATTCAACAGTTTGTTTTAAAAGTCTATATGTTGAGTTCCAACGAGTGGGAGTATCTCTATTAAATCTAACTGCATGCACGTGGTGGGTTTCACAAAACTGCCACCATTATTAGGTGACCGATTTGTGTCGCCATATGTATTGAACACATGCTCTAATTTTATCAATACGTGTTTCTAACATTCGTAAACCATCTTGCACACATAAATTCAAAACATGACATATGCATCTAATATGAAAAAAATTTCCCCCACAAGCTGGCTTACATGCATCTACAAGATAAGGGATAGATGTCGTATTGACACTTGCATTATCAAAAGAAATTGAAAAAACTTTGTTTGTTAATAAATATGAATCTAACACATGACGAAGTGCTTGTGCAATTTCAGATGCAGTATGACCACTATTCATTACAGGAAAACCAATTATCTTTTTTTCAAGTTTCCATGCACAATTAATCCAATGACATGTGACACTCATATAGTCATTACGACCCCAATGATCACTCCAAATATCAGAACAAATAGAAACTTTGTTACTTATCACAAGAAATTCTTGTACTAAT